GTTCCTTCCACGATCTTCTTCCCATAAATCCCCCATTTTCTAGGGTTTCATTGATCCTTCTTCCTCTGTAAATTTTACCAATCGCGTGAAACTGTTTTGATTTTCCGCCATGTATCGACGCGCCACTTCCGGCGTGCGATCTGCCTCCACTTCGCTAACGAGGATTTCTTCTTCCTTCTCGAAGATCGCATCGAACCCCACAGCTTCCGCTTCGGCTCCATCCGCGTCGGTTCTCACTCAGACGAACCGATCTAAGAGCTTCTCCTCGGCTCTCCGCTCATTTCGAGTGTGTTCTGCCTCCACGCGCTGGAGCCATGGTGGGAACTGGCGATCGCCTGCTAGCCTTCGTGCTCAAGCTAGGATTTCCGCTCCGGTCATGGAGAAATTCGAGCGAAAATACGCTACCATCGGTATGCGTGCTTGATTTTTTTTGTTTTGTTCTGGAATCGTAACTCTTAACTTGTATTACAAGAATCAGTGTCTGCTAAGATCGATTTCGTTTTTATATTTGGCGTACGCTGAATCAGTTGAAATCAAGAATCACCCCTTCAATTATCTTCGGATTTCCTGAATTCCGAACGTTTTGATATGCCCTGATCAAAGTAAAACTAGCTAGAGGAAGATGATTGATTTGCTCTTGCATTTTGTTTATTGCTTTGTTGCTTAAGGTGCACCCAGTGATGTAGTCTACTAAATTTAGTTTTGTATTTTCTCTACGGAGATCTGTTTAGACCATCTGGTATGTCTCATTTGAATTTCTGATAGTTTTGATATGAAAAACGCAGCTTCTGAGCATGCCTACAAGGATATTTTGACGAGTCTTCCTAAACCTGGTGGTGGAGAATATGGAAAGTACTACTCGTTACCAGCTTTGAACGATCCAAGAATTCGTATGTTTCCTTGACATCTGCTTGCTATAACGCCCTCTATCTGTTCTGCTGTTAATAGTAACTATTGCCTTTTCGTGATACTGCAGAAAAGCTGCCATACTCTGTAAGGATACTATTGGAATCGGCAATTCGTAATTGTGACAACTATCAGGTCACAAAGGATGATGTTGAGAAAATCCTTGACTGGGAGAATACATCTACTAAGCAAGTTGAAATCTCCTTCAAGCCAGCCCGTGTTATTTTACAGGTGTGTAGCATATTTTTCTTTTCTTCTATACCAAAAACCTCTCTCCAGCTCACCCGTTCAGTCCACTATGCTAAATGGTATTTTATTCCCTAGGACTTTACTGGAGTACCAGCTCTAGTTGATCTTGCTTCTATGAGGGACGCAGTGAAGAATCTGGGTAGTGATCCTGACAAGATTAACCCCTTGGTAGGTGAACTGTCTTATCGCTTTTTTGGTGTCATATGTTCGATCTAGCAATACTCACATTTTCTTGCTCATATATAGGTTCCTGTTGATCTTGTCGTTGATCACTCAGTGCAAGTTGACTTTGCAAGATCAGAAGATGCCGCACAGAAAAATATGGAGCTTGAATTCAAGAGGAACAAAGAAAGATTTGCGTTCCTTAAGTGGGGTTCCACAGCCTTCAAAAACATGCTGGTCGTTCCTCCTGGGTCTGGGATTGTCCATCAGGTATGAGATGATGCTGTCTTTGTGGAACATAAGTGTGATTAGAGTATTAACCATTTTAATCTGTTTGGTAGACTACTGGATTTTCAAGGAGTGCTTGCATCTCATTATGCTATCTAATGATTCTGTTATGATAAATTGTTCTGATTTGACACTGCAGGTCAACTTGGAATACCTTGGACGTGTTGTTTTCAACTCGGGTGGATTCCTCTACCCTGATAGCGTTGTTGGTACCGATTCCCACACAACCATGATTGATGGACTAGGAGTCGCTGGGTGGGGTGTTGGAGGAATTGAGGCAGAGGCAGCGATGCTCGGTCAGGTGAGCTCATTTTCTTTGTACACCTTCAGAGTTTTTTTTTTGTTTTATGCTGTCTTGTG